GTAGCCCAGGCTGGCCTCGAACTCACAGAGATCCGCCTGGCTCTGCCTCCCAAGTGCTGGGATTAAAGGCGTGCGCCACCACCGCCCGGCGAGATTCACATCTTAAATGTGGGGTGTCAATCACAATATCTTGGGGTTAAGTCCTTGGTCTAGTATTATGGAGAAAATTTGGGGCAAGCCTTTATGATCTTCCCTCCATTTTAAAATGGAGTTCACAGACATACTCATCTCATCAAGGGTGTTGTTCTCCTAATGAGGTGTGTATGAGGAGTCTTTGTGTCACAGACATACAGTAAATATTTCCTATTATCAGCAATCCCCATGTGTTCCCACCAAGCAGTTGACAGAGCACCCCTTCCCATTTCTCCTTGTGTAAACAGTATATTGCTTTTCTTCATGGCTATGTCCTTAGCTGGTGACATCCTCCTTGGACAATAACAGGACAGGAGGGCTCTGACTTGGCCGGGGTAAGGGGTGGGTAGACCAGATGACTGACATCTGGAAGGAGCAGCGCAGGGTCCTCTGGAGGTGGAGCGCTCTGGCTGTCACTCCTTTACCACCTGACTTCCCTCAGCTGTCACCATTGCCTCCCACTTTGTTATTCTCCCTCCAGCCTGACACCTGAGGAGCTGTGAGGACAACCTGTGATTGGTCTGAAGACATGGCAGCAAGCATGGAACCTGATGGTAAGCATTTCCTTTTTTCTGTCCTCATCCATCTCACAAAACTTCGAATAGGGAACTGTTCCAATGCTGGACCTGTTTCCTTGTCCAAAGCAGATCCTTTTGGTCTCAGTGGCCCACCTTTGTGTGGTCACTGTGTCTATAAGTGTGCTGTCCTGACTGTGTGACATCCCCCAGAGGCTCCTGCATTAAACACTTGGGCTCCAGTTGGTGTTGCCATTTGGGGAGGTTATGGAAGTCTCAGCACATGTAGCCTTACTGGAGGGAAGTCCAAATCTGTGGTGGGCTTTAAAGTTTATAAACCTGCTGGGCATGATGTGCATGTCTTAATCCCAGCACTTGGGAAGCTGAGGTAGGTAAATCTTTGAAGCCATCCTGGTCCACACAGTGAGTTCAAGGTCAGACAGGGCTACACAGTGTGACTCTGTCTCAAAAAAATATAATAAAATAGGGCAAAAGTAAAATAGAATTCCTAGACTTGCATTCTATTCTTAGATGCATTTCAGATGTGATCTGTCAGTCTCCAGCACCTGCTTCTGTCCCTTAACCGACACTCTGGACATCTATCCTTATGGAGCAGGAAGCCAAATGAATCTTCATAATGATTTCTGTCATGGTGTTTTATCTCAGCAGCAGAATACTAGCCATTTGTGAAGAAACTGAGAACACTCCTCTCTCTCTTTCTCTCTGTCTCTGACTGTCTGTCTGTCTGTCTCTGTCTCTGTCTCTGTCTCTGTCTCTCTCTCTCTCTCTCTCTCTCTCTCACACACACACACACACACACACACACACACACACACACACTCCCATGGATCAGTGTCCACAGGATGCTGGAAGGCAGTCCTGCTGAGCACGATGAAGAAGAGAGTTGGCTCCTGGGTTTCACAGGGAAGGAAGGCCTTCATTGACAGTTGGACTAGAGTCATTCTTGTGACGTTTGGGCACAGACTGTGGCTTAATCTGTCCATATTCTGAGAATTTACATGAGGCTAAACTAAAAGGCAATGGAGTAATTTCTTTGTTGGGGAAAGATCAAAACAACAAAACATTGACTCTGTGGATGGTTATTAATGGTGATGCTTATACTGGTCTACAATGAAGAAAAGGAAGCGGGACAGAAGGAAATGAAAATGTTTGTCATTTTGCATTTGGAGAGAATAAGAGCACTCGGGAGCTCAGTGTCACCTAATGGCTGTGACTGTCAAAACCTAAGAGGCTCTGAGGGGAGGCCCCTCTCTGCAGTGGGACAGTGGGAGGAGGCAGGACGGGCAAGGACCCAGCCAGCTAAGCTCCTGCTTGTGAAAGGAGAACGCCCAGAGCTTTCTTGCTCCTGGAGAGCCATTGCTGCAATGTGCAAAGCTGCTGTTGGTGTGGTTGACAGTGACAAGGGTCCATCCCAAGCTGGCAGTGTTGTCTGTGGGCACTGGTTGTGGAGTCATGAAATATGCAAGAGTCAATTGGTGACTGCTGATTTCTCCATGGTATCAAGAGCCTGAGTCCTTCCCGTGTTCAATACACAGATTGGAATTCTGTCTTTTAAAACAATCTCTACTATTGACACAATGAGCTAATGGAGAACCCACTAGTGGCCTGTAAGTCACATTTGAAGGAACTGTTACCACAGTGCTTGACATGTAAGAGGCTCATGATGTATGGGACAAGGGACTTCAACAAAAGGCCTGTAATTTCCCTCAGTAATGGAAACCCATGTTCATGATGAACACATAGAAATTTGGTCCCAATAAGCAACACTTCCTGATGTGGGGAAAGAGCAGGCTCACTACATCTGCATATGGTGTCTCCTTTGTATGTGTGGAGAAGGGTCAGAGTGTAAATAGTTGCAGAGGGAGGTGAACACAGATAGACACGTGTGTGCATATGATAGATAATTAAATGATGGATAGATGACAGAGAGTGGACCTCTGGTATCTCACTGTCAGAAGTACCCCAGTCCCACTAATTAGCACCTTATATTCATGGCATCATTTGAACTCTATTATCTTATTTCCTTAAATTTCTGTCTCCAAATACAGTTGCTGAAGCTCAGAGATTTTACATATGAATTTGAGAGACATAACTAAACCTCCAACCTGGGTGACCCCTTTAGGACCCATGGACAAATGTTCAGGGACATGGAGTCTCGGCATCTCCTGCTACTTGCCATTTAGTCTCTTCCACACTGGCTTCTGACCTCATTCTTTCTCTTGGTAAATAGTGGCAGGAAACGACACGGAAGAATTCATTGAATTTCTCACAAACATACTCTGCAGAGAGGATCTGAAGAGCTTGATAACTAAAGATGGAGCCTGGAAGGCATTTGTGGAGGGAGCTCAGTTGTCAAGGTAACCTGCATGGTGCCCCCAGCACTGCCCTCCAGACCATGAGGGTGAGGGTTTTCCTGGGCAGGCACACCCACTCTAGGCAGTCCCAGGGGTTAGAGCTATGGCCCCTCCTTTTCAACCATCCTAGAGGAGTGTTTTCACCATGTTATTCTCTGGTGGAAATCACTTCAAGGTGACTGAAGATGTCACTCAAGGTGCCAGGACCATATCTGCAATCTATAATTATGTGACCTTGGCAAATTAGTCAGCACATCCTGAGTTTCTGCACCATGAAACTGTAGTGTGAGAAAATCAGATCATGTGTGTGGAGTTTTCAGCATGTGGCCAAAACACCATGAGTGCTCCTGAAAGTTATCACTGAGAGCTACCATAGAAAGTGGGAAGAGACCAGGACCAAGGGTCTCCTGTAGGACTGAGGACGCAAGAACTCATTTGGTTCAGGTCACAAAAGTGTGGACATGATCCACATGTTCCCAGGTTCTGTCTCAGTCACTTTCCTCCCATCTGAGGAGCTGGAACAACAGCAGGGTCCTTCTGGGGGCTGAGGAGGCAGAGAGCCCACAGTGCAGCTGCACAGAGCTGGGTTGACCCTGACTGTCCTTACTGAGATCTGGAGCCCCCGTATGTTCAGTAGGAATGGGAATTCAGTCTGAAAGGACATAGTGATGACAGCCTGGAGTGAGGAACAGGTCAGGGATGGAAAACCAAGTGCCAGCACCCTTCCCAAAGCCCGGAGACCAGGGCCAGGGTCACAGTCAGGGTTCAGGGGAGACTGAGTGACCCTAGAGAGGAGGTGTAGGTAGAAGGCTGGGACAGCAGGGCTGGAAGGAGAGGGAGGAATTGAGGGCACAAGAAGGGGATGGTCAGGGTCCTAGCAGAAAACCTGTAAGAGGGAGAAGGGGCATTTATCCTACCTACATCAATGTCATGTTTCATGTGTGTGCAGGGCTGTGCTTGGGTGTGCCCTTCACACATGTGTGTGCTGCAGAGTTCCCAAGTGGCTTTTGGGTTCTCTTCTCTTCTACACAGAGCTCCCTGAATATCAGGAAGGATGTGTGGCCAGAGAGTGCTTCCAGTGTCAGTGTGGTTGGAGGACAGTTCAAATAACTAGAGAGTTTGAGGGTGATCCCATGTCCCAGTCCCAGAGGAAAGTCCTTCCCCTATTGTCTTGCCCAAACTGAGGGGATTTCCGACCTTCTGATGACCACAGGTGGTCTCCAGGCCCCTTGCATCTTCCCACATGGCCTTGTTATGTTCAAATGTGACACTGTCATCAGCGATGGTGTCTGTTAGCCTGGTGACCTCTGTCTGCAGGTGTCTGAACTAGACCTGCCCGGTGGTGGGTCAGGAGTGAGGGAGGGGTGTGAGTCAGTGTGGAGTCAGGACCAGTGGCAGCTGACCTGTCTTAGTCACCCGGGGCATGCACTGACCTCGTGAGCTCCAGTTAGGGAGGGAAAGGGCTTTGGGCATCTGCAGAGAACAGACATCAGGCACAATGATCTGGAGGGCCCCTGGTGGCTCTGAGGGGTTTCTTTTTTGTTTGTTTGTTTGTTTTATTGTTAAATTCTCAGAGATATCCTCATGGCAAAGTCTGAGGAAAGAGTCCCAGAGAGCCTCCCTCTGACACCAGCTGTTAGTGAAGGACTACTCCAAACCAATCACAGGATTGAGAATGTCCATGACCAATCTTAGGATTCACATATAAGGTTGTTATCACATAGTTACAGTTGATCATGGAGCAAAGAGGATTAAAAGAAGCCAATGAAAATATCCACCACACAGATCTGAGAGAGCTTAAACAACAGATCCTTTCCAGTAATATGGGCCTCATGGGAACCTTCCTAAGGTCAATGCCATTGGCTTTCAGCACCTCTGGAAGTCAGAAATGGCACCAAAGTTCTCACCACAACCCACATCTTTAAAGCTGAACATTTTAATAGGAAATTCTTGGGAACAGATCCTACAATTTCCCTACATGCCCTTGCCCATCTACAGGGTTTCCTGGTAATGATGCTATTTCCTTGATTGAAGGCATTTTGACCAAGTGCCCCTCATTACAGTGTCGTGACTCTACTGTACACTCTGACCCCTGTGGATTAAGGACCTTGGGTATCTATGATGTACCAAAAGCTCATGGTAAAATGTGAAATTATGGGTCTGTATATATTTTTCCCACAGTAACTGTATATGAAAGTGAAGTTTGAATAAGATTTTAGCATTAAGAAATAACTATTTTCCTCATGCACTTGACCTCTTGTGTCACAGTGAGCAGGAAGATGCACTGCATGATGCCCTGAATAAGCATTTAGCACAGAATCCCACAGATGAAGATGATGAAACTCAAAGGGAGCTGCAGAAAAAGAGGTTTTTGGAAGAATTTCCTGAGTTGACAGAGAAACTTGTAGAAAACATCAGGAGACTTCGAGACCTGGCTGACCATATCGACCAGGTGCACAAGGACTGCACAGTCTCCAATGTGGTGGCCGACTCCACTGGCACTGCCTCTGGACTCCTGGGCATCCTTGGTTTAGTTCTGGCACCCTTTACAGCGGGGGTTGGTCTGGCGCTCACAGCAACTTCAGTTGGGCTGGGAGCAGCGGCAGCTGCAACTAGTTTCACGACCAACTATGTGGAAACATCAAACAGAGAGTCAGATGAGGCTGATGCCAAGAAGGTGGTTAATGCCAGCATTGACACACTACATGATATTTTAATGATCATTCCTAAGATCAGTGTCAAACTTCATTCTATGTGTGAGGATATAGACAAAGACAGCCAAAAGACGAGGCAACAGTTACTTGTCGTAAAGTCAATTGCTGGCATTTGTCGTTCATTCTGTTCTACCAGTGTGGCCACAGGAATCAGCCTTGCAAGAGGACTCACTGCTGCAAGAGGACTTAACCTTGTAAAAGGATTCAAAGTTGCAAGAGCAGGCTTTATTGGTGTAATGCTTGGCATAGATATATATAACCTTGTAAATAGCTCAATGGATTTGCACGGTGGAGCAACAACAGAGTCAGCTGGAGCGCTGCGGGACCTGGCTCAGAAGCTGGAGGAGAAGTTGCAGGAATTTGAGCAGATCCACAAGGCTCTGCAGTCAGACTTATTTCAGTGACTTTTCCGACAGTAGCTAAGAGTTCAGGGGAGATGACATGTACAGGAGTGGGGATAGGGAGGCATGCTGTCAAAAAAGAAATAGTGTGATGTTAAGTCTGTGGATCTGAGTGTGTAGTGAAGAGTTTGTATTTCTGTGTCCGAGCACAGCAAGGTCAATGCAGACAGCCAGTGACTCAAGGAGAAGACAGAAACTGGAGTCTGAAAGAAGGGGCCAGAGTGAATGAGAGAGTGGGGAGTGGGACAGAAACATGGTGGGTGTGAACAGGAACAAACAATGAGAAGGCAGGAAAACTGGGGAGCTGAGAATGGGAGAAAGCCAGAGTGGGAGTTCTGGGTATGGAGAAGACACAGCAGGACACCACATGCCCTCCCTGAGGGAAGGGTCCCTGTGACCTCTAGGCTATTCTTCCCAGCGTCAGCAGGATCAACTCACCCTTGTGTCCTCCAGGCAGTGTCCTCTGGACAGTGACAGTGATGGTGATGATGGTGATGAAGATGATGTTGAGGATGGTGGTGGTGACAGCAGAAATATGGAGTTCTTGAGAAGTAGCCAGCCCTCCAAGGGGACGGGGTCACCTGAGAGACCAATGACATTAAAGCGAATGTCTGTGTGCTGTGATGGGTCCTTGTGGGTTCTAGGGGTAGAGAGTCAAGGTGATTTGCATGAGAGGTCAAACAACTTAATGGTATGCAGATGAAGTCAAATCATCTGTGACAGAAGACTCAGCCTGTGACCCTCAGCTCCCTCTCATGCTGGGGTAGGTGTGCTGGCCAAGATGGTGTCTTAAATCACCTGGCTTTGGTCCTCTTGTCTTCTATAGATTTGTATTCAATAAATATTAATTCACTGGTCTAGACAAATGGAGTTAAAAAGCATCAATTACAATAGAAGAAGGTGGCATGGAACCAAAGATAAAGTCCATTAGAATAACACAGACCATACTTTTGATTGGAAGCTATGGGCAAACGCCAGGCTGAGGGAAGCAGGAAGCCTGGCCGGCTGCACCAGGGATCACGTGAGGGCTTATGTATGGTAAGTTGGATAATGGTGACACTCATCACAGTTAATGTGTCTGTTCTGGTCTCAGCTAACACCAGGGATGTCAGACTTGGTTCCCGCACTGACAGCACTGGGGATCCTTGCACAGCCCCACATTCCACTGCAATGGCAGGGGGGCCATGAGGGAGAGCAGGTTGGGGTTTCTCATGGCGGCTCTTGTACGGGGCATTTACCCACCAACCCCACAGTTCCCCAGAGTTTTCTTGAGTACGAGTAGCAGGAAATATTAGATAGAAGGATTTAGATTGTGGAGATAAACAGATAGAAAATAAAGGATAGCCTCCAGAGGGCCTGGAACCTATTCCAACAGGCCCTGACTGTCTCTGCCCTAAGGTATTTATAGGGACACCAATGGGTGGAGCAAAAGACCTCCCCCCAGCACAGCCAAGTGCAGACCATCTCAGACACCTGCACTCAGGTCCGTGGTCCTAATCATCCTCTCTATGAGGACCTGCAGGGTAAAGCCATGAGGAACCTGAAAACGGGCTCCCACACTCTTGATGGTTGGACTCAAGATGGCTGAAGTCAGCCCAAGCTGGCTCTCTGGACTGACTTACTGAGCCTGTGTAATGTTGGTTCACTGGCTCCTCTAGACGCAGGTCTCTTCCCTTCCCTTCACCACAGGACAATGTCATGGTGTTTGAAGTGTTATGACTCATCTTAGGCACTCAAGGATGAGAATCACATTTTCAAAACTCTTGAGAGTTCGAGGATTTCTCTTCATCTTGGGGAAACAGACTGGTTCTGTGGCAAGCCACAAGGAAATGATATAGGGCGTCCAGCTGTATAAAATAAGCTATACTTAGACCAACCAAGGGTTCATCAATGGGAAGCCACTTTCATGTAATATTTGATGTTATACAGCTTTAATACTCAGATGCACCTTGCTTTGAATTTCTTGTGCTCATAATTTCCATAGAACATGTATGTGTAAGCATACTGCTCAAGCCAGTACTTGGATAGGGTCATGCAGGCAGGGCCTTCTGCCTCTATGCCCAATACCCCCTTTTAGCTACATCCAAAGATAGGGCCAGCTCCAAAAGAAAGCATTGAATGACAAGCAAAAAACAGAATAGCTACCAGAGCACCTGCTTGGCGCCTGAAGCCCCTGAACTAAGGTAAAATGTCCTTTCAAAGCAACTTGGCTCCTGGAGGCATAGCTTTGTTTCTTGTGCAAATGAAGCTCGAACCATCCCCTTCCTTCAGGCTTAGGGGCATGGCAGAAAGATTGACTGAGGAAAATAGGGGTTTTGTCATAACCAGGTGCAGAAAGGACTGGAACAGAATTCCAGAGGCAAAGACAGAACTACGTGGCCAGAGAAAAAAGAGGAAGACAGAGATTCTGTAGAGAGTAAGGCAGATCTCTTGTAGAGTTTATCAGGGCCAGGGGTAAGGAGCCAGGAAGAATATATTGAGGACAAAGAAACAGAGGTCAAAGATGAGACCAAAAGCATAAGGGCTTAGTTATTACTATGAGACCAAAATGAGCCATCTTAGAAATAAGACCGAGGTGGAGCGGGAGCCTGGGCGGCACCGCGACGCCATTACACAATAGCCCGGGCGGCGGGCGGGCGGAGCAGGAGGCGGGACGCGGGGCCCCGGAGCTGCCGGGGACAAAGCGCGGCCCCCGGCGCACCCCCCCCCACCCCCCCCCCCCCCCCCCCCCCCCCCCCCCCCCCCCCCCCCGAGCCGCCGGAGCCGGGGCGCAACCCACGCCCGGCCCCGCGACTGACATGATGTTTCCGCAAAGCCGGCACTCGGGCTCCTCCCACCTCCCCCAGCAGCTCAAGTTCACCACCTCCGACTCCTGCGACCGCGTCAAAGACGAGTTCCAGCTGCTGCAAGCTCAGTACCACAGCCTCAGGCTGGAGTGCGACAAGCTGGTCAGCGAGAAATCAGAGATGCAACGGTATTACGTCATGTACTACGAGATGTCCTATGGACCGAACATGGAGATGCACAAACAGGCTGAAATCGTGAAGAGGGTGAATGGGATCTGTGCCCAGGTCCTGCCCTATTTATCACAGGAGCATCAGCAGCAGGTCCTGGGAGCCATCGAGAGAGCCAAGCAGGTCTCGGCTCCCGAGCTGAACTCCATCATCCAACAGCAGCTCCAGGCTCACCAGCTGTCCCAGCTGCAGGCGCTGGCCCTGCCCCTGACGCAGCTGCCCGTGGGGCTCCAGCAGCCTTTGCTCCCTGCAGTCAGCGCGGGCACCGGCCTCCTGTCACTTTCCGCGCTGGGCTCTCAAACCCACCTCTCTAAGGAGGACAAGAACGGACACGATGGGGACACCCACCAGGAGGATGATGGCGAGAAGTCAGATTAGCTCCTGGGGAGGGGGGGAGGGGGAGGGGGCAGGGGAGACAGGCACTGAGAGGACTCAGTGTTCTGAGGGCCACACAGCACACAGCTCGGTCACTACCCAAGCTTCCACCCGCAGTCCTCGTTCCAGCCTTCTTGCTGTGCACTGTGGGCCTAGGGGACCCCAGAGGGACACCCCAGGCTGCCGGGAGCAGCAAGAAATCCCCCACCTGCAACATTTACCCAGGCCACAGCCGCCAATCTTGGCCCAGGGACAACGCAACGCTAGCTGTCCCTTTCCACCCTGTGCACCCCGAGTCGTCCCCGTCCCACTTCTCTGTTTCCCACACTGCACACCTGCTAGGTCCAGACCTCCCCCCACTCCCAGCTCACCCAGCCCGGTTCCCTTGCCCACAAAAGAAAGGGACAGAGAGGAAGCTGTGCGAAGACTTGGGGACTGCAATGGGTGTGGGCACACACAGACTTCCCTTCTCCCCTGTTCCAAACAAATGTGAGGGTTCTGGAAAAAAAAAAAAGAAATAAGACCAAAATGCTTTCACTCAAAAACTAAGGCCTAATATTTCCCCTTCTAGGAATAGGCCAATAGTTACTGAAACAAGTCAGTCTAGATTCCAGAAACCAGGAAGTGTAAAAGTACAGAGTCACAAGGTAGTCACGAGGTAATGACTGCTGGACTATAGAATGTTCCAACCCTGGTTTCCAGGCTCACTGACCATAAAAATGTCCCCACCTAAGGGCATACAATGAGAAATGGTGGTGGGCAACCACTCCCTTCGAAGTAAGATTAAGCCAAGATTTCTAGAAAGCCCCTAGAAGCGAGCCAATCAGAATTGTACCCATACTAGCACCCCTAAATGATGTAACCTTGTGGCTTTTGCCTTTAAAAACTGAGCTTGCAGCCAGGCGGTGGTGGCACACGCCTTTAATCCCAGCACTCGGGAGGCAGAGCCAGGAGGATCTCTGTGAGTTCAAGGCCAGACTGGGCTACCAAGTGAGTTCCAGGAGAGGCTCAAAGCTACACAGAGAAACCCTGTCTCGAAAAACCAAAAAAAAAAAAAAAACAACAAAAAACAAAAAACTGAGCTTGCAGACAGGCAGGCACTTCCTCCAGCCTCCACTGCATTGGATGTATTGGACGAAGTCCCTGCCTAGGCTTATATTGCTTTTGGATATCCAGAATTAAACCTTGCTTTTGCATTCGGGCATGCTTGTCTTTGGTGGTCTCTCTGGGGGTCACGATCTGGGCACAACATTTGGGGGCTTGCCGGGACCCCCAGAGACCCCCCCCCCCCCCGCCGGGACCCCTAAGAGCTCCGGAAGTCCATCTGCACTGATCGGTAAGAGCGTTCCATTTTCTTGTCTTTGCTTTCCTTTTACTTTCATTTTCTTATCCGAAGCCAGCAGTTGAATCTGACACGCTCTCACCTTGGCGGACGTGCCTGTAAGGTGACCCTGGAGGATTTGGGAGATGTCCCAACCCCTCATCAGGACGCGGAGTCCCCACAGGTCCTCCCGTCATAGGATGCCTGTGAGGGGTCCATCTGTTTGGACACCTGTGAGGGGTCCGTCCGTTTGGACACCTGTGAGGGTTCCAAATAACTTCATAAATTTTAACTTCTGCTTCTAGTTTAAATTTGTCTCAACAGATTTCCACTTGGCTGGCAGTCACCTCCAAGCTTCAGTTGCTGACTATACTGCTCCAGACGACTGTGAGCTCTGGACTTGCTAAAAGCTGATGTGGACCAGCCCAGCTAACATGATTCTTCCCTGTTCCTATGGGGTCAGGCAGCTACATGCTTCTGACAAATGCCCCCTTGCCCAGTCTTTGACTAGTTTTTCAGCCTTTTGGGGCCCTGACAACGGCACCCCAATGCCAGCTCGAAGCAGTTCCAGAAGAGAATTCGTCATCCCATGTTCCCCGTTCAGAAAAGGCTGAAATGCTGGGTCAAAAGAAAACTCCCTGGCATAGAGACAAGATGGCTAACTATACATGGCCATTATTAGAGAGGGATACTTATGAGCTAACTGCCCAAAACCCATGATTGGGTTCCATTAGGCACATGAGAAGGGGGAAATGTGAGACCAAAATGCATCTTAGAAATAAGACCAAAATGCTTTCACCCAAAAACTAAGGCCTAATATTTCCCCTTCTAGGAATAGGCCAATAGTTACTGAAACAAGTCAGTCCAGATTCCAGAAACCAGGAAGTGTAAAAGTACAGAGTCACAAGGTAGTCACGAGGTAATGACTGCTGGACTATAGAATGTTCCAACCCTGGTTTCCAGGCTAACTGACCATAAAAATGTCCCCACCTGAGGGCAGCCAATGAGAAATGGTGGCGGGTAACCACTCCCTTAGAAGTAAGATTAAGCCATGATTTCTAGAAAGCCCCTAAAAGCGAGCCAATCAGAATTGTACCCGTACTAGCACCCCTAAATGATGTAACCTTGTGATTTTTTTCCGTTAAAAACTGAGCTTGCAGACCTCCTCCAAAGGTATTTGCTGACCAGCAGTTTTAGAAGTGATCAGAAGTTGAACTTAAGGCTGGGACAATAAATCTATGTATCCTGGACTTGGCAAAACAAGATATGGGGAGTAATGGGCTCAACTGACCAGAAGTTGACCTTAGAGGAAAGTAGGACTGGAACAATAAATCTGAATGTGTATATCCTGGGTTCAACAAAAGCAGGACATAGGGAGTAAAAATTTATGTCTCTGTAGATATCCTGAATCCTGTTAGCCATCAGTAACCTCATACTTATAGTTCAGCCAGTAACTTCAAAGAACTACCCCACCCCAGCCCCCTCATCCAATCCCAAGCTGCATGTAAACTTTTCCTATATAAACCCCTTAAAGTGAGTGCTTGGGGCTATGGTGATATTTTATTTGTACTGAAATGTGATTTTATTTGTATGTTAATAAATAAAGTTGCCTGGGGGTCAGAGCTAATAGTAAGCCATAACAGAAGTCCAGCAGTGGTGGTGGTGCACACCTTTAATCCAGATCACATGACAGGCAGATCTCTGTGTGTTCAAGGACACAGCCAGCATGGAGGCACACACCTTTAATCTCAATACCAACCATAGAAGACCTGGAGGTCTGTATAGACAAGCAGTGATGAGGAGGTCATGTGGTTGGGTTTACAACCAATGAGAAGGCAGAACAGAAAGTCAATAAAAAGACAGATACACAGGAAGTAGCTCTCTTTCTGAGGGGAAGGACAACAGTGGCAGTGCAGGGTAAGAAAGGTTTTTTAGTATCAGCTCTTAACTACTGCTCTGACCTCTTGGGCTTTTAACTCTGAATTTGGCTCTGTGTTTCTTATTTAATAAGACTGTTCATCTACACGGGGCCATTCTCCTCCACCCACTGTGTCAGATGTTGGATGGCAGACCAAGCTTGCTTGTTTTGTTATTAAAAACCTCTGTGTGCTTGCATCAGATATTGGCTCTGTGGTGGTCTTGCTTAGGGGACTTGCGACCTGGGCACAGTAGGATCAATTTCCCATTGGTTGACTTTTCTTCTGGACCAAACGTATTTGTAGAGTCTTCAACCCTGAAGTGTTGATCATCTAAATGACTTTCTTGTGGTGTCACTGTTCATGCTGAGCAGGTCCCTGCAGGTCACCAGAACTCCAGGTGGCATGGGCTCTGTTTGTGTCCTTGGAGTTAGAGAGATAGGTATGAGGGGTAGTGTTCCCATCCCCCATCCTATGAGTGTGTACCCCATCCTGACTGTTCAAGGGTCTCTGAATGATCCAGTCTGTTCCTCACTCTGAACAAGGGATCCCCACCATGGTTGGCTTGTGAATCAGGAAACATTTACTCTATCCTAAATCTCACAGTGTTTTCCACCAAGCTAAAGTCATGCTGGTGAAAGAAGAATCAAAAGAAAATATTTTTATTTTTAATGGCAAAAAATAGCTTTCTACAAGAAAGCATGGTCAATAGAGCATCATGTCTAAGTCTCCATGTTGGCATGATTCTTGGTTTAGGCTCTGAGTTGTGGAATGAAAGTTGATGGTTAGTTCCTCACCCATCTCCCAATCTGCAAAATCATAGCACAGCCCCATATTACATGTGGTAACTACACACTGGTTTGTAAAATGGAGAAAAATATGTATTGTAGGAAACGATTGTAAAACTTCAATCAAATGGTGAAATAGTTGTGTTGCTAACTGTAGTGTATTAGTCCTGAATAGTCAGGAGCTTTGAAGGAGTGAGAACTATAGTCACCTTTTCTCCCTCCTTCAAAGCTCCGAGGACATGACCATTAAGGCCAAAGACATTTGTCTAGGTTCTAGATTCTAGGATGAAATAGGCCCCCAAAGAAAGGGTTATGCTGACCCCTGGTGCCCAGCTCCTCTCAGTCCCTTCTCCTGAAACAAAGCAGAGAAGTCCCACAGCCACCAGCTGCAGGTCTCTGGTAGAGCAGAGGACTTTGGCCTGTCCATCAAAGATGTCATGAGAGTGATACATGAGGTAGTGGACTCTGCCATAGAGGATGCTGGGAAATTCCGAGAGGAAGCAATGCAGGATGGTTCTAAGTAAAGGCAGATGCCAAGTGCCATGCTCACGAACTTCAGCAGACCACTGGCAGCACCATCCACTCCAGAGTCCAGGACTACATGAGGTGTAAGGAGAAGCTGGCATGCTTGGGGAGAGACAGGGATGGTCTAAACCCAGGATCTGTGGAGAGTGATATCTGGAAGGACCCTGAGCCTCTAGTAGCAGATATTTTTTCCTAAAGACTATGGAGGACACACAAACAACATGGGGTGTACAGAGAAGAATCTAGAAAGTGATCCTGTGAGAGGGTGGGGCTCAGCAAGCTGAGCCTGGGGTCTCACCTGGATCTGAGCTGCTCCGAGGAGGAGGCTTTCCCTCACCCTTTGAGTCCTGACCTTTGTCAGGTTGTCACAGACACAGCCAGTGGCGGCACCCACACTCCTGAGACCTGCATCCTACTCAGATTCAGCCAGAAGACTCTTTGGTAAGTTGGGGAATGTGTTCTG